GGAATTGCCACTACACAATGGAAGTACAGAGTATATTTCTGGGATGCAGAAGATACACTGGGGCATCTCTTAGTCCTCCCAGGTCCTGTGAATAAAATCAATAGAAAACAATATAATATGAGGGCTGCTAATGGCTCACACCCTTCAGGAGTGAAGATTTGAGTCACCCCACCATGCAAAGAGCCATGAGCAGCCTACTTGCTTACTGAGGGCAGAGGAGTAAGTAGTAGAAGGTAGTTATAAATACAACCATGTGACCAGGAGCAGAAATAAGGACTGTAAGTTATTTGCATTTCCTTCTGATTTTGATATACTTGTGTGTGTGTGTGTGTGTGTATATATATATATGAATTATTTTTTTCTTCCTCATCTCATTCTTCTACCATCTAACATGTGTTAATAGCAGTTAATCTTATATGTTTGGATTAAATCTACAGGATGTCAAAGGCAGAATGTGATTTCAGCTAGAAGAGAGACAAGTAACTTCCAAAGTTGAAGGAACTTTGTAAACTCTTTGGAGAGACAGGTTGGTTTTCATTATATGAGGGATAGTTGCATCATGTTGGAGGCAAGCATGGTTTTTCTATTCTTTTTTTGAAGTTAAGTATGGTTACAAGGTGTATACACAGAGGCCAAGTGGATTTTGGTAGCTTCGTACTGCGCCAGCTTACTGAAGATGAAGCTAAACTTCTCAGAATTTCCCTCCCTGTCTGGTTGTGAGTAGGTGTTGGCCACAAGAGACACTTTATGGGATTTTGGAAGCCAGCAGTGAAGCAGAAGTCATATCTTTCACCCTCTGAAGCTCAGTGCCGGATGCTAGGCAGGTGGGCCACTCACCTAGACTGTCAACTCATGTGCTAGCTGATTTGGTGGGCGTGGGGCAGCAATGGGGCCCATAGCTCCTCCAGTCCTCAGAGGATCTCCTCTTGGAGCTCTTCTTAATCCCAGGCCCAGTGCATGTGCAGTCAGCTTCCCCTGCGTGATGTCCTATGATGTCAGCATTGGAAGTGGTAACAGAAGCATGGGTTCTGCTTCACCCTCACATCTCCATGTTGTGGTGCACAGGCAGCTTTCTCCTTTGGCTGTCTAGAGTGACTTAGGCTTCGCACTGACACAGAGGCCGTGGCTACTCCACCAGCTCCCACAGTTGCACAGGATCTGTCTCCTCGTGGTTCTGCTTTTCTCATTGAATCACACCCTAAAGTCATGTCAGAAGGGACGTGGGAACAGTGTGGGGTTCTTATGCCAAAGGCCATTCAGTTTTCTTGGCAGGAACACATACATAGTTTTTGTATCAAAATTCATGAAATTTATTTCAAAGAGTTTCTAAGATGCTCCCTTAAAGACTACTCATTAAAACTATCATTTTTGTTTGTTTTCTTCCTAAAATATGTATATTAATTCTGGAAAACTTGGCAGATCCAGGTAATTATCCGGATACCAGTGACATTTTGGTGAGCACCCTTCAAGCCTTTCTTCAATGTATGTATCTATAATGTATATATGCATATAAGCACACTTAATTTTTTATAAACATGGAATCACATTTAAATTCTGTTCTGTAAAAGACTCCCCCAAAGAGCAAGCACATCAAGAATATTTGTCTCTAGATAATTAAATAGCCCTAATTCAAGAACATACTTTTTAATTACTTCACAGTGTTCTTTTACTTAGGTATACCATAACTTATTTAACCCCATTTCTTATTGTTGCTCTCACACAAATTTCAGTTTTTCTTAATTAATTTAAAAAAAACAACTCTGAGGAGAACATTTTTTAATTAATCCTTTCAACCAATTTTGTTGAGTAGCTTCTCTGTTCCTGGCAGGTCATAGTGTCATTTCTGTGCAAATTCTAAATTCTAAACATAGCTGAACTTCTGCGTGGTTAAGTTTTCCATGTGTGTTGTGAGAAGGAAAGCATAAACAGGGAGGTTGCATCAATTGAAAATCTACCTAGATTGAATTGTATAAAATACTAGGATTTTGTAAACCTTTCTAGAAGTCTCTTTGGAATGCAGCATTATCCATCTTTGGGAGTCCCTCTTACATTTGCCTGTGTCTAGAATATGCGTGGATTTGCTGATCCATCTTATGAAGTAAAACTTTAAGTCCAACTTCTTTTCTCATCAGAGTGCCCCCCAATTTGCCTCTAGACCCTCTGCGGCCCACTGTACACGGAAACAAAGCAGAACTCCAGTCCCTCCTCCAGACCTGCTGGATCCATGTCTGCATTTCACTGATCTCATGCACACAGGTAGAGCTTGAGAAGCGCTGATTTAGCCCCTGACACAGCCCACACTGGACCTTGCACAACAGCGGTGAGGAGGCCAGGTCAGCAGTAACAGCTGTGTCAAGGACAGGGTCTGTACCAAGGTCCTGTGCCCCCTCCTGCCCTTTCACTTCACCTGAGCCCTGCCTGCACAGGAAGGCGGGCACTAAAATAGGTGCGTGCAGGAGACAGGAGGACACAGGGACCCCTGCAGGCTGCTCAGCAGGGTGAGGAAGGGTGGCACAGGAGAGGAAGGAAGGCAGTTCCTGGACGCCAAAACCACAACGTGTGTAGGTGCTGCTTCCCCCCCCATTTAGCCCATAGCTCTGCCCCCGAGACGACTCTTCGCTGACCTCTTTCCCTTTCTGCATTTTGCCCCATATCAAAATGTCACCATCTAAAACTTTTCTCCATGAAAATTAGAAATGTTACATTGTCAGGGACTGAATGTGCCTGTTTTCTGACAGTTGTTGGCAGTTCCCAGCTTTTATGGTGTAGCCATGGTGGAACCTGAGTCATCTAAAGGTGGTGACAGTGCCAAGGAGCTGACAAGGAGCTGCACACAAGCCAGACTGCAGGAGCTGGGGCCCAGTCACTGCCAGGCACCCTGGGCCACTGGCCCTCCTGGGGACAGGAGAGCCACGCTGGTCCTAACAGGGTTGATACGAAATGCTCCAAGCCTTGTGGTGCTGATGAATTCTTCCTGTAGCAGATGTGCTTAGAGACAGCCCAGAGTATGGAGTGTCTTCCCACATAGTTGTTTCTCAGAGATCCAAGGGGCAACACCTGACTTCCACGTGTGTCAGAATTCTTTTCTCCCTTTTCTTTTTAAAGCTGAGAAACCACATGTTCTTGGATATAGACCTTACTTTTTGTTTCAAGGAAAAAAGGTTTCTTTTGTGCCTATTCATATACATTAAACAACTACCTGTGTGTGTGAGCGAGCGTGCATGCACGCACACCTTTTCTCTAAAATTCTTACCCATAGTCTGGAGGACAATGACTGATTTTTTCCCACCTCACATAACTGCTATGAATTTCTCCACGCAAGGATGGGCCTGTTTGTACACACTGGGCACCGTTGGTGGAACGTTTATGCAAACAGCCCCAGAAGCTTGGTGGGCCAGGGCACCCTATGTTCTCAGGGAGCAGGGATGCCGGGGCCAGAGCCAGATTGGTCTGACCACACTCGGCCTGCCCCGGGTTTGAGATGTTTGCCAGGGCAGCAAGGAGCACCAGTGATGGGCTGGGAGGGATGAAGCTACCAAATTCCAGCTCAGTTTAGATCCTTCCCTCTACTGGGCTCCGGGGCGTGCCCAGTGCTAAACTCCAGAGTTGGTTGGGAGAAATCTCAGAGGAGGTTGGAGCCACATCCGCTAGTGCCTGTGAATTTCCTTGGGAGGGCACAGGCTGCCGAGATGCCGGTCCGCCGGATGGTGACCCCTGCCCCACCTCTTACGCTTATGGAGCTCAGAGCTGGCCGCCATCCCCGGGTAGGAGCGTGTGGGGTTGGGGGGCACGGGAGGTGATCCCTGGCCAGGAGGTTTGATCGTCTGTCGCTTGATCTTGGTGTTCTGTGGGACAGTTGCTTTCTCCACCCAGGAGGTTGCTGAAAGGTCTGCCCATAACTGCTTTCTAAAGACGGTTGTTATACTTTTAGTCCATGTTGCCTCTGCATTTTTCTCAACTTTTTCCTCCCAAATAATGTGTCTTTTTCTTTCGAAGACTCCCCCCCCACAAACGAGATATTCTGACTTTGGCATTGGCAAGGTGTGGCCGAGGTGACTGAAGCATGGGTTCAGGTGCAGACTTTGTAGGGAGGTAACTCGTGAGACACCCAAGTGATAGAAAGCCCCTGTCGACCCCCCAACCCCCCACCTCGCAAAGGTTTTTGCCCTTGAGCCCTAACCCCTAGCTCTGGCAGAGAAAGTGCTGTTTTAGCAATTTTTATGCTCTGCACCTGGTAAAGTCACCAAGAATAGTTGAATTTCAGATGGTATACTTTAATCAGTGGTGTTGGTTAAATGATATTTTCTTGAGTAGATGCCAAAGCATGAAGATTTGAATAAGAAACAGGCAAAATGTGTGTGTGTGTGTTTAAGCCAAGAAAAAAAAAGCCACGCTGGGATGAGATCTTCTGTAAAGGAGTTTAGAGGCTTATACTTTGGCAGTAACTTCTGCGTGTCTCAGGGTAAGCTGTCCTGTGCTGTTTGTAGTTTATAAAATGGAAATTGTAACACAGGCCATCCTCTAGTGGTGCATGAATTAACTGCATTAAAATTGATTTATGAGAAGGTACAGCATGATAAATACAATGAACACTGCTGCATGTCATATATAAAAGTTAAGAGTAAATCCTTAAAGTTTTGATCATAAGGGAAAACTACATTTTTTCTATTTCTTTAATTTTGTATCTAAATGAGATTATGGACATTCATTAAACTTACGATAATCATGATGTTATGTAAGTCAGATCCTTCTCTGTACACTTTAAACTTAACATGGTGCTGTATGTCAATTTTATCAATAGAGCTGGATAAAAATTGATTATGGGTGTTACTGTTACAATAGCATGTCAGTGCTGTTGCTAAATGGAGCAGTGGGGCAACAGTAATTGAAACAGTTGTAGTTAACACAATACAGGGAGACTGTCTCACTGTCTATGAAAGTTGAGGATCTTGAAAGAACGGAGATGTGCGGCTAAGAAACTTTGTTTTCCCCTCCTTTAGGCCCAAGTTTCTGGTGACAGCCCCAGGGATCATCAGGCCTGGAAGAAATGTGACTTAGTGGGGTGGAGCTTCTGGAACACAGCCCCTCACAGGTCACTGTGAAGGTGGAGCTGGTCAAGATGTCAGCCAACCTCACTGTCTCTGTGCTGGAAGCAGGAGTCGAAAAAAAAAAAAAAAAAGGAGTCGTCTTTGAAAAAGGTAAGATAAACAGCAGTCTTGCCCTTCTGCAGTAGTAACTGGAGTATGTTGATAAAGCTGTGTACTAGGTGAGTTAATGGAGAAGCCCTACATTTTCAGTAGCTTACATGATACACTTTTTTTTTCATATGAGAAAGGCTTAATTTATCTACCTCACAATTCTTAAAAGAGAAAGTTGGTAAACAGTAACATCTTGATTAATTGAGTTCTTCATTTTTTCTAGTTTATTTTTCTTTTCCTGCATTTTTAAGAGATGGAACCTTAGAACCAAAAAACTTACTTCTTTAACTTAAAAGAAATTCACACTGTAAACATCAACCACTTAAGTTACTTTGAAAGAACTTTGGACAAGCAAACAGAGCCCACTTACTTCCCACTTCATAATACACTTCTAATCCTTATGCATGTGAGTCCAAAATGGTGTTCCTGAGATGCTCTTCCAGGTGGAGATTCTGAGACCCAGGTTCTTTCCATTTTGTGGCTCCATCATCATTAATATGTGGTTTCCAAGTCTGCAGTGGAAGAACATGGAATTTCCCCCCTGGGAGTTTTTAATAGGGCAGGCCTGGATGTGGTCATATCTCTCCTTTTCTGATGGCCACATTTAGCTGCACAGGAGGCTGGGAACGTGGACCAGTGTGTGCCCAGAAGAAGAGGTGGGTGTCTTAACAGTCTGACACAAAACCATATTTATGTATGGTTTACACAAACCATGTATTACCATATTTCTTTATTGAGTGCAGAGGATTTTACTAGGTAGTCCTGTGGGAAGGAAAAGATGAGCTGTAGTTAAAAATCTAGTTTTATGGAATTCTTTGTAGTTTTTTAAGTAGCAGGAAAAAAGATAACATAAAAGTGGGAACCATTTGTAAAAGAACCCACATCTCCTGTTTTGTTTTTTTCTAACCAGGCCCAGGATTAAATTGGGTTAAGGAATGTCTTGTTTTTCAATACTAAGGGAAAAATAATTTGAGGAGGGGACAATAAACAGTTAAAATATGTAAACATTTTCTTTTGATTAAAATGAACTTTTTTTTTAATTGAAAGAATAGTCTATACTCAGTGCTCACAACCTGATAAACACTGGGAAGTAAAGGAAATAAACCAAAATCACCTGCAATCCTACCACCCAACTATAAACAGTGTTCACCAGATGCACATTTAGATGTTTAGTCAGAGGCCAAAAATTGAGGCATGAATTCCTATTATGTTAAGAATTATCTTTTAAAAACATCATTTAAGGTCTTGAAATGAAGGGTGGATGGGATTCCACAGTACTTCATTATTATGAATGTATGTTTATCCTTTACCAGCACAGAGAAATTAACCCCATCATGAAATGAGATAAAATCAAAGTTTATCTACATCCAAGGTTCTTTCTGCACTGCGAAGCTGAATGGGTTAGCTTGGGATAGGAGTCAGGAAAAGGTGATAAGTGCAGGTGGCCAGACCACTTTGTCTTTCATAGGTATGATGTCAGGAAAGTGGGAGGCCTTGTTTCCCTGGAGAGGAAATGTAGTTAGTGCTTAAGATCTGAGACTGAGTCTTAGTATTAGCTGTGTGATCTTGGGCAGGTTACTTTACTTCTCTGAGCCTCGATTTCCTCATCTATAAAATGGGGATGAAGTACTTCCCAGGGTTGTTATAAAGTTATAATCAGTACTAGTACCTATTGGGCACGCAGTAAACAATAGCTGTTAATGTTGTAAGTAGTAATAACGTTGAAGAAGATGCCAGAAGGGTAGTTTCCATCTTATGTGGGGGTGGATCTGTACTTTTATTATTGAACTGTTTATTCTGAAAATGAATAAATTTTGCTTTTAATGATAATGGCTAATAAAATGTTGAAATACTAAGTCATAGCAGACAACACTTAAGGTAGTTCCACATTCATTGTTCATTAAGAATTATCACTTTGGCTCTAGTAGTGTGGCAGTTTTCCTCCAGGGCAGAGGTCCAGAATAATGATGATTTTGATAGATATTTGGGCTTTGCTTGGGCATTTGCATACTCTTATTCTAGAATTTCTCCTACATTGTCTCTTCTGCAGTCTCCTTTATCAGTCTCCTTTTTTTCTATAAACAAATAGTATAAACACTGGGGTGCATGTTGCTGTGACTTGGTTTTTAAACTTTATTCTTAGATTCTCCCTTTGGGAGGAAAATTGGTCATATGCTTTTGGGAAGGCTAAAGTGCTCAAGATTGGGTCGGACAACCCTATTCTGGGAGCAAAATGGATCTTAAAAAAAGAAAGAAAATGCTACTTTCAGGGGCTGTTTTGGACTCAGTTGATGTACAGTTTTATTGAAAATACTATTGCCTGGAGCATTCTCCCTCTTTCAAAGGAGAATGTTAACTTTGTTATCGGGGCTGTGAGTCATTGTTATCAGAGCAGATGCTTCCTGTAAGGGGTAAGGCTGAAGGATCAAGACATTTCTCCCTCCTTGTCTTCACATCGTTTGCTTTATCTGATTTCTCCAGTTGTAACAACATGTAGATAAAGGAGGACTTTCTTAATCAATGGGGTCTGGATCTTCCTAGGATTCATTTTTTTCCCTGCCACATAAACACAAATAAATACATGTTAGGTCTCATTATTTCATCATTATCTTATGAGGGCCTCCAAGAACTTCCTGCCAAGAAAAGATTGGTTTTAACACAGATTCATCTTCTAGCAGAACTGGGTAAGGAGCGGGACTGTTTCTGAGGGCTATTTCTAGCAGTTCTAGTCTTAGAAATTTGTGGGGCAGGGCAGTGTTTCACCATAACCATATTGCATTTCTAGCTTAATTTGTGTCAGAAATAGTAACAGCTAAAGGATTTGAATTGCAGGACGACACCAAGTTGAAAAAAGTCAAGTGCTTGAAGTCGACCTTTTAATAAGGATGCATGGGGCAAGGAAGGGGGCCTTAAGTTGGATCTCTCTGCACATCCTTCGAGTCGCTCCCTGAATCCAGCAAGAATTAGGCATGAGTGAGGCCTCTCTGCCCCTATGTTCCAGTACTGAGGTGTGGCTTCTGTTTCTGGCTCTGTCTCTCCTGGGTCTGTGATGGACACAGTCATGTGTCAGAGCAGTAGAACTCAGGCATGCAGTTCAGTCCCCTTCAATTTCTCTCAAGTGAGAAAACCCCTCAAAGCTTTGACTCTATGAAGAGCTACATTAAAAAGTATTTCTATGAATGGGATTTCCTGCACTTCAGATCTGAGTAGCTGTTTTAAATTGCTGAAATGCTTGCCCTTCGATTTGTCATCAGTCTACTAGATTTATTTGGATTGGAGACTCAAAGCTGTTTTTTCACTTTCTTCCTTGCTTGGTGTCACTTAGATAAAACTAAATCCATCCCCTGCACAGACACACACATACTTGGTCTTTAGTCTTTGTGAGTGTTGGGAGGTAAGGTGGTGTGTCAGGCCATGATAAAAGGAAGCACAGTGTTCCTCTGGTTGCTGGGCTGACACAGTAGTCAACCCTGATGACTGACTTATCCTGAAGTCATGAAAATCAGGGACTCTCAATAATCAAGGGTCCTGGTTGGCTGGGGCCGAGCCCCCTGCAGTTCATTCCACGGTGGGACGTTGTGGTGGTGCTGTGCTGTGCTGTCCAGGTACTGCCCATCAGGGATGAAGACTTGTTCCTTGAAGCTGCTGGGAGTACTGCCCTTCGAGCCAGCCCCTTTGGGGACTGCACCAGCTAGAGCCACCCTGTCCCGGGGGCACCCCTCCCCCCAACTCAGGAGAACTCTCAGGAGTCAGTGCTGCCTCTGAGTGCCCCATGGACCTGTCCTGAGCCTGCATTGTGGCCCCTCCTCCCTCTCCCTAGTCCTGCCTCCTAGTCCCTTCTCTTCTCCAGATGCTGGTCCTGGGCACAGTCCCTGCAAAACCTCTTGCACTTTTTTTTTAGGACATCTGATACTATATTTTTTCATACTAATGAATCAAAGGGGAAATTATTTGATGAGAGGTTTCCAAAAAACATAATATCCTGACTTTTTAGAAATTCAGTAAAATTGATAGCATACACATACATAAAACCAGTAACTTGTATCCTGCTTATTGGTGTAACAAGCATTCTGATTAAAGTCTCACACAGTATAAACATGCTAAATAAAATAGCTAAAAAGTAAAAGGCATTAATATTCTAAATGAGAAAGCACATTTCCTATTACCTATGGATACTGTTATTTGCATTCCTCAAAAAAAACCAAAATCAACTGAAAAGCAATTGGAAATAATAAACAAATTCAATAAAGTGGTCATCTATAAAAATGCAGAAAATCTGTATAAAACCTCTTGTAGTTTAATCAACTATCTCAGAGTGGGCTTCCCGGGGAACCCAGCCCTAGATAGACAGTGGTTGTGATGCAACTTTCCTTTGATCTTGATCTTGAAATTAACTTCGTACTGTGTAGTGTGAAGAACTGATAGAAGAGGTGGGAAATTTTCTAGTTTTTATTTCCTTTTTGGAAGTTCTTGTGTACCACAAACTATTTTAAAATTAGTTCCACTGCTGCAGTGCTTGTATGTAACTAAGGGATGGGAGAAACATTAAGGAAGAAAAATCCATAGGTTGTGGTGATGACTAACAGAGCTGAGGAGAGAAAGGAGACCAAGAGGACTGAGATTCTGAACCTCTGTGACTGAGGGAATAGGACTGTTAAGATGTTACCAAGTCCAAACTCCTTCTGCTCAGCGCACAACAGGCCAGTAAATCAGGAGGCAAGTTGTTGGGGCAAGGAATAGTGACTTTATTTGGAAAGCTGGTAGACCTAGAGGATGGCAGACTAATGTCCACTTCCCCACGTCAGACTTCAGGCTGCTTTTACACTAAACAGGGAAGGTGGTGTGGTTGGTTGGTACAAACTTCTTGGTTTAGGAATCTTTTCTTGCAGCTCTCCACATGGGTCAGGTCAAGGTGTCCCTGTAAACCTCCAACAAAACAAAACTTAGTTTCTATTCTGCAACTTGTTATCTTTATATAGTACAAAAGTATCAATATCCTT